ATTATATGCATTTTAAAGGCAAATTAATGTTACCTAAACATATTCAGCTAATCCTTTTAAACTTGTCTTCTCCCTTCTTCATGTCAAACCAATCATCTATGAGAGCACATGACCAGGTGTTATTTTACATTTGCAGTCCTACACCTCACAGAAGGTATTTATATTCTGATTATCTTCCTAGAACTTCACTGCACTGCCCAGTATGACGCACATGGCAAAGGCGTCTAAAGGTCTAACATTACCATTTCCATACATCCAATAGAACTGGCTTTACCTGCCACACAGGTGCTACATTGGCCTGGTATCACCAATGTTCCTTTTAGTTTCCCAGACACTATAAAAATGAAGGTTTCAGAAAGATTAAGGACAATTATTTCTTAAGGTGTTGGAAGTAAAAGTAGAAGAAGGTAAAAACACTTAACACTCAATATTCTTGTTAGTGTTTTTTGTTTTGTTTTTGAGGCCTGAGAATTGATCCCAGAGCTTCAAGCATGCTAGGTGAGTGCTCTACAAGTTGAGCTGCACTCCACCCATTAGAGTATGTCTTGTCATTCTTAGGGCATGTGTATGGTCCAGCTCACTGACTAGTTCTCAAACTTTTTGTCTTAGGATGCTTTTACAGGCTGACAAATTACATGAGCCCTGAAGAATTTTGTTTTATAGGACTTAATTCTACACTGTACATCATATTAGAGATTAAAACTAAAAAAATATGGAAAATGTGGAACAAGAATTATCTCAGGGGTGACAGCGCTACAGATCATGAAACCACCTGAAATAATGTGTATATGTGTGTGTGTGTGTGTGTGTGTGTGTGTGTGAGAGAGAGAGAGAGAGAGAGAGAGAGAGACAGAAAGAAAATGACAGCCAAATAATATCTTATATTCACTATGAAAATAGCTTTGAGCTTCTAGGTAGAACTCCTGAAAGAGTCTCAGAGCCTCATTTTTCAAGACTTCCCAAACTGCAGTTTGAGAAAAATGGGTCTAGTTCACTCTTGTATACATCAGCAATGTCCTTGAAGAGATAAATGAAGAAATAAATGACAATTCTGAGTAAGAGGACGTAATACATACTTAAATAATTTGAGCCACTAAACCAAAGGACAGTATCTCTTTCAAGAGCATTCATCTACTTACATGGCCCCCAAACCATCAATACATTAAGAGGTTTCTTCCTGGAAATAGGCCAAACAGAACAACTACAAAGAACTAATCTTTGTTTCATCAATCTCTCTCTTGTTTTCTATTTGCCCACTAAACATCTTCCTGCAGCTGTACTTCAAATGCAAAGAACTAACATAGTATTTATTTTAATGTTTGTTTTTTCTGCTTACTAATAAAACACAAACACTTACTGTAGGAAAGGTAAAAATACTGGAAAATTTTTTTTAAGGAAAGAAAAAAATGTACCTATCTTCTGAGAAAACAACTTTTGACATTTTGGGCCTTACTGTTCAGTCTATTCATCATGCATAGTAACACTAGAATAAAAATTCATATGTTACCAAGCATTTACTGCGTTTTACTTAGAAGTGTCGTTGGTATGAAAAATGCATACTACTAAAGAAAATTTAGATCAGACATGCAAAAAGAACATTTTGTAGTGAACTACTATCCTTTTTCTGTGTACATACATGTGCTTTTCTAAAAGGAAAGAGAGAGAGAAAAAAAGAAAGAAAGGAAGGAAGGAAAGAAGGAAGGAACGAAGGAAGGAACTACAATATAGTGTGCAACTTGCCTTCTCCTTAATTTACTTAGAACATCTTTTTATGCCATCAAGTGCTCTTCCAGGCTTCCCTGGTGCTTTTTATTGCATGGCTGTTCCATGGTTATTACTTGAAAAAAATTACTGTTAAGCAATATTGTGATGAGCATCTTAGCTAAATTTTTACACACATTCATGGCAATAGTTTTGAGTTAATGTTCTAGAAATAAATTTTTTGGGTCAAAAGGTATGTACATTAAGCTTTGATACACAGTAATTCCCGCCTGTGTTTTCAGCGTGTATGAGAGCTCCTGATATTCCCAATTCCCTCCCTCACTGAGTAATTTTACCTATCCTTATCAACTGCATAGGTGGAAAATACCATCTCATCATCTTAATTTGCATTTCTTTGATTACTGTGGTGGTTGAATATTTCCTCTATGTTTTATTATTATTCCTTTATGGATTTTATCTTTCTGTTCACTGCTCATTTTCTATTAAAACAATCTTTTGTTATTACTTTAATCTGCAGGACCTTACTAAATTAGCTAAATTAAAGCTCTTACCATATCAGATATATTAGCTTGTCTTCTGAACTAGTTCAGAATGTCAGAGTCCTGTACTATGTAGCCCAGGCTGTACCACAATTTTTGAATCTCTTACTTCAGCTTCCTAAGCGCTAGGATTACAGGCATGTACCACCACACCCATTTCAGAATATTTTTTGATGGAAAAGAATTTTGAGCTTTAAACATTTTTTTTACAATTTCTACCATTAGACATTAATAAGGCCTTCTATACTCCCAGCTCATTTAATGTTTACTTATATTTTCTTTCAAGCCTTAGTTTGTCATTGTGCCATGAAGCCCTGGGCATCTTTTCCACACAGATCATCTCTGGTTGACCCCAAGCAAACCTGCCAATATCTATGCCAGCATCATCACCAATGGTACCTCACATGATAAACAGGGACCCTAAACTCTGCAACTATTTTCTTCCCTGATACTTAATTGAAATGCCCCTTTAGCTAGCTGGGGTTCAAGAAGGAAGAAGAGAGTTATAGCATGTGACCAATGACAGCGACACACACAGTTCTCTAACTTTCTAGGAATAAGTCCACTTGGGATGCCAATCACACCCACAGCAATACTTTTAATACTTTAACTCACATACCTCATTGATGAGATGGCTTTGTATTTGTGCTGAGAAAGAAGTTTCCTCCCCAGAGAATGAGCTATTCTTTGTCTTATGCCAAGAAAGCCTGAGAAAAATGCTGACTGCTGGAGGTGACGCATCAATCTTAATCTCTACTTTCAATTAAAATAACATAAAATCAAGTGCTTACTGGGCCACTCAGGCAGAACCTGGGTTCTTTCTAGTCAAGACACACCTACTGAGACACTTGAAATTTCTTGGGAGTCTGATTCTCAGGTGTGTGTCAAGAGCACAGCCCCGATAGCAGGTATGGAGTTGCCCTGGAGAAACTCTGGGCAGGGCCGACAGAGCAAATTGTGCATGCTGATCAGAGATTTCCCAAGAGTCTTACTTTCTAGTACATCAAACCTGAAATAACAGAAACCAAGATTTACAATGCTAGTTCTCCTCCTCTGTCGTACATAGTAACTGTGAGGAAGCACAGCTGTCTCCTTTCTAGAATTTTCAAAGCTGAATTTTCAGACTTCTTGAAGGTAAGTATTTAAGCCAGGGTAAGTAAGAGCACAAAGCTTCCTTTTCTTTGTCTTAGCCAAATGCAAACCTTTCAAAAACAATTGCTGTTTTATTTTTCCTGATCTCTTCAGATAGGGCAAAGAAGATACAGCCTCCCCCAGAGTTTCAATCTGGAGGTCCCTTCCAGAATCCTGCAAATACTCAAGAGATCTTAGACCTTCCCATCTTTGAAAAGGCTGAACAAATGGCCTAATGGTACATAGAGAGGGATCTTAATAAGTTAAATTTGTTTTCTGAAGTGAAAGCATTCCATACATCTTTGCAATACAAGATCATTCAAGAGTCCTAACCAATCATACAGGAGCCCATAGATTAAAAACATCTATTTTTGACAGTCTTTGGAAATGTCTCTCTTCATAGGGAAATGTCTCTCCAAATTCTGGAATGCTTGCAGCAGGAGAAGCAAGCTCTTCATGCTTTTAGTGGCTTGCAGTATCTGACTCTTCCCTTGGTCTCTGAGCCATCACCTACTAGTGTAGTAGTTCTCAACTGATTTTTTTTTTTTTTTGCGAAGGGACATTGCGTGATATTCAGGAGACATTTTGGGTTGTTATTGACTGAATGAGTGTAATGGATGCTATTAAAAATCCTATAGTGCAGAAGACTGTCATTCACTATAGAGAATTACCTAGTCCAAACGTCAAGTATCATAGCTGAGAAACCCTGCTTCAGCCAGTCTAAACCCTTTTGTGTTTTCTAAACCTACCAGACTTTCATGTATGCTTTTGTGATTAAGCGCAAGCTGTTTCCTTTATCCGGAGTGCTTCTTTAGCCCAGTATGTTAACTCTTACTACCTAGGGCCCAACTTAAAATCCCACCTCTTCTATATTGCCCTTCCTAGATCCCACAATTGAGACTTATCTTGTTAGAACAGTAGTCATGCTGACCCAAAATAGACCATCACCATCAAAAACCTTGATCCAACACATATTCATCATTTATCCCCAGAGTGCCTATCTAGTAATCAATCACTGTTCACCAGATCAATCAGGGAATTAATGGAAATGTTGTAGATACTCCTTAAAGCAACTAGGTCTAAGGGACAAGAATATTTGAACATCAAGGGCAAGAGCAACAAACAGTTATCGAGTGCTTGGAATATGGATCAGCACTATGTTAACACCTTCCATCCTTACAACAATCTTGCCAGGCAGGCACCACTATTATTAGTATTTTATACATGGGGGAAATGGAGGTCCCAAGAAGTTAAGCCACTTGTCTAGATCATTGAAGGTAACATCTGGCAGTGCTGATATTTAATCTCAGGAAATCTGGCTCCAGAGTTTCAATCTTCTAAAAGTCATACCAAGGGAGTTATACTAACAATCAATCTTTCAGCCACTAAAGGCCTCTAAAAAATACAAATGATACCTCCAGAGGTTATATAACCATGGAAACACTGCTCCCGACCCATGACCCTTTGAAACACTGTTCACAGGGATTATACAACATGATATAACCTCTTGAATGTTCTGGCATGTGAAACAACCTAGTTGTACAATGGAAAGAGGAAGATCATGGTACCATAAAAAATATCCAAATACTGTTTCAAAATGCCTCTTACCTTGTTCATGCTGTAGAGATGAGAGCAAGAGATCAGACATGTCACAAAGTGAGGCAGCTCTTGAAGAATTTCCTTGTTCCTGGAGGTCTCAGTTCTTGAAGCAGAGAGCTGCATTATGAACATAAACAAGAACCCTTCAGCCTAAGCTCAGGAAGGCTCCAAGATATCCTGTGTTCAATAGAACTTTCTGACATGACGCAACAATCCAAGATGGCGGCCACACATGACTCTTGAGCCCTTATATACACTACTGGGTAATAGGGGAGTCCACTGAGACCTGGCACACGGTGGTGCTGTTGACATGCAAGTTTCTTGCTGTTTTGTAAAGAGATCAAAGGTCAAATGAAAAACTGTTATTGAGCACTAAATTAGGAACTACCTACAATTTTAATTAAATATAAACAGTCAATGCCTTTAGTGGCTATCACATGAAACAATCCAGGTCCCAGACAGTTAAATCAAGAATCATGAGGCATACCACTGGTCACTGGGTATGCCAATAGACAAGCAAAAGCTAGATATTATATATTTAAGAGTGGTTACACACGCACAGGGACAAAACCACTATGATTTAGTAACTATTTTTGAGTATTTACAAAAGGCAAAGGGGCCAATGACAGGAATTTCTAGTTCAAGCTTTGACCTTTTTTTAAAAAAAGAAAGAAGCTAGAATGTCAACAGCACCACTGTGTGCCTGACCTCTGTGCATTCCCCTTTCAGTATCTACAGACACAAAGGAATAGACAAGCGCGAGTGCCTGGTAGTATTACTGCATGAGATTCATACTTAGACCCTTACAAGGTATACCATCAGGGAATTGAATAAGTCAGTTTTCTATGGGCTAAATGAATCAAACAATCCAGTCCCACCAACATTAGAATCAGAGTATGGATTTTTAGTCATCCTACTGGTTGTTAAAAAAACAAACGGGGATTTTAATCCATTTGAATTGTGGTTTTGAATGAAACAGTTTATGGTATGGTTTTGAGGTTCTTTAACAAACAAGAGAATGAAAAAAATATTCCCAAGCATTTAGCCTTTTTCTTTGAAAGATGTTTATGAGATCTGAGAGAATAAAACACTGTAAGTTTCCTTACATCCACCTGACTGGTACATTACTTTATCAAGTTGCATCTAGGGATGGATTACCTATTTGAACTTCCCATGAAACATGGAATTGGAGAATGGTGAGACGAAGGACAAGGAAGCAATGCAACAGTGATATACACAAAGCAATATGTTGGAAATGATCTGTACAACTTGGGGGTCCGGGAGAAAAAGTAGGAGAAAAATGAGGGAAAAGGGGTAACAAGTGTGACAAGAAATGCACTTATTACCTTACTTATGCAACTTAACCCCTCTGTACATCACCTTGGAAATAAAAAAATATAAAAAAGAACTTCTACAAATTTCAAAGTTTGGAGTTTTAATAAATATTTTTTACAGTAGGCTAAAATAAAGAAAAAATGGAATTGGAACTTTAATTGGGACTATAAATGCTTTAAAATGAAGCACAGGGTCTGGGAAGGTGGCTCAGTGGAAAACAATTGCTTTGCATGCATGAGGCCCTGGGTTCGATTCCTCAGCACCACATAAGCAAAAAGAAAAAAGCCAGAAGCGGCACTGTGGCTCAAGTGGTAGAGCACTAGCCTTGAGCTGAAGAGCTGAGGGACAGCGCCCAGGCCCAGAGTTCAGGCCCACGACTGGACCCCCCCCAAAAAAAATAAAGCACATATTTTAAATTAAAATAAGAATAGAATACATTCCACATGAATATGAAGCTCTCAGAATCACATCACCCTTCACAACCATCTTTACTTCTTAGTGATCAGCCTTTGCCTACCAGAATGTAATATGTCTGCTAACTGGAGCAGTCCGAGCTGTATTCTCCATATTAACAGTTTTCACTGCTAAGAAAATGATTCAGCAATTAAGTTTTCAAAAGATTAATTCCTATTTCATATATATGTATGTGTATATATGCATATAACCATGTTGTGAACATACTATCATTAGTTTTTATTTATAAATCAGAAAATAGGGAGAGATAATTGCAAATCACGGTAGGCACAGATTCCAAAGAAAACATCACATTCATTCACAGCAATATTTTAATGATAATGTCCACCAAACAGAGATCCTAAATTCTGACTCTGCAGCATGAATACAGAAAACATCTCCATTTGTATACAATGACTGGGCAATCATAGCTTCACAGTCATGAGAACTCACTAATTCACTTAAAAGTAACTGAAATAATTATGTATATAACTTTTAGTCTTTGAATTTCCAGAAACAGAATTTCTGAATTTTAAAGTAGAATTCTATACATGTTTCCACAGAGAGCTACATAGATAGATCCCTTTAAAACGTATAGTCTAACACTGAAGTAGAAAGTTTATCTCAAACCTTGAGATGCTAAACATAACAACTTCAAATGATCATATTGGTATTGATACAGGAAGGAGGGCCCAAGTTACAAGCACAATTGCCCTGAGAAGCTCTACCCAGTTCAACCATGCCACAGTCCTACGCCCTCAGAACTAGGGCAGGCAGCTTGCACTGAACTAATTATAATTATGGACCTCTCCCTGTCTCTGATTCCAAGTGTCCTTATGCCATTCTCATATATGTCATTCTATAACTAAACAAGAATAAAACTCCTTTTGAGGAGGATATTAGTTACATAGAAATATTAATATTATGAACAGAGTTTTTTTTTCTTTATTCTCATTCACAGGGCCTAGGATGATACAGACTTTTAATGTGGGACCTTAAAACAATGCTGGACCAGGGCATGGCTCAAGTGGTAGATAGAGTACTGGCAGCAAGCACAAAGCACTGAGTTAGACCCTGGAAAGGAAAAAGAAAGAAAAAGAGAGAGAGAGAGAGAGGAAAGAAAGAAAGAAAGAAAGAAAGAAAGAAAGAAAGGAAGGAAGGAAGGAAGGAAGGAAGAAAGAAAGAAAGAAAGAAAGAAAGAAAGAAAGAAAGAAAGAAAGAAAGAAAGAAAGAGAAAAAAGAAAGGAAGGGAGGGAGGAAGGAAAGAAAAGAAAGAAGAGAGGGAGAGAGGGAAGGAGGGGAGGAGAGAAAGAAAGAGAGAAAAGAGGAAAGAAAAAAGGAAAGAAAAAAGAAAGAGAAAAAGGATAGCAAAAGATAGGAAAAGGATAGAGAAAGAGAGAAAAGACAATGCTGATACTTAATGCAGATTGACTTTTTTTTTGTAATAAAGGAAAACTTTTTAATACCAGATTTAGAAATCTTTTTAAAATATTAAGAATATCAGAATCAATACTTTCAGAAATTTTACAAATAAATAGCTGTATAGTGCTCAATTACATTAATAATGATCTTACAGAATTTTAAGACTTGTGTGGTAGCATGTGCCTATAATCTCATTTACTCATTAGGCAGAGATTGATTAGGAGAATTGCACTTGGTTAGAGTCTAGGCAAAATTTAGTGGGATTATATCACAACTCACAAAGTAGAATACATCTGTATTCCCAGATACAAGGGTAGCATCAGTAGGAAGATTGAACTCTGAGGCTGACTGCACATGAAAGTGTGAGGCGAAATCTGAAAAATAACCTAAAAGCAAGAAAGGGCTTGAGATATAGCTCAAGGGGTAGAGGAATTAGCAATTGAGAGGCTCTGAGTTCAAACCCCAGTACCCACCTCCAAAACTTCTATATGTATGCTCTCATTTAGTACTGATGTTAATCTAAGTGATAGTTTTCCTAACCAGATCTAGGGAAACAAAAATGTTACAGTAATTAGCAGTACACATGAGGTGGAGCTATAAATGACTTTAAGAAACTATTTAAGTAAAGAATGAATAAGGCAGCCAGGCTCTGGTGGCCCACACCTGTAATCCTAGCTACTCAGGAGGCTGAGATCTGAAGATCATGGTTCAAAGCCAACCCGGGCAGAAAAGTCCCATGAGTCTCTTATCGCCAA